AGTTATATAATATACCTGGCATAGGTAAATTCATAGAGACAGAAAGTAGAATAGAGGTTACTAGGGATGAAGAGAGGGATTATGGGAAGATGTTTAATGGGTACAGAATTTCTTTTAGGGATGATGAAAAACTTCTGGAAATGGATAGTGATTGTTGTATGACATTGTGAATGTACTTAATGCCACTGAACTATGGAGTCAAAAATTGTTAAAACGCTAAATTTTATGTTATGTATATTTCACCAGAACTTTCAAAAAGAATTGACAAAGTTTAGAGCATTTTAAACAGAATACAAGATTTAAGCTAAAAAATTCAAGAAAAAACATTTAAAAATTATTTTAAATTAAATATCAACTTAACTTTCTCCCCCAAATCAATTAATCCTTTAATTATATTAACAACATAAAAAACCATATGATTATGTATTAGATGCAGAAAAAGCATTTGAGAAAACTGAACATTTTTCATTTAAAAAAAAAATCTCAGCAAACTGGGGATACAAGAGAATTTCCTTGACATGTCAAAGGGCATCTTTAAAATACCTAATGCTAACATCCTGTGTAATGATGAAAGACTGAATGCTTTCCCCTAAGATGGAGAATAAGACAGGCATGTCAGCTCCTACCACTTCTATTCAACACTGTACTGCAGATTCGAGCCACTGTAACCACTTTTTAAAAGGGAGTTGGGAGAAGGAAGAAAGGAAGGAAGGAAGAAAGGAAGGAAGGAAGGAAGGAAGGAAGGAAGGAAGGAAGGAAGGAAGGAAGGAAGAAAGGAAGGAAGGAAGGGAGGAAGAAACAAATGGAGGAAAATAAAAAGCATCTAGACTGAAAAGAAATACGTAAAACAGTCTTTATTTGTAGAAATAATCATCTATATGGAAAACCAAGTGAAATCAATTATAACGTTACTGACACCAGTGAGTTTTGCCACATTGCAGGATACATGATCAATATACAAAAATCAATTATAATTCTATATGTTAGAAATAAACTGCTAGGAATTGAAATTTTAAAAATAATACTATTTATAATAGCATTAAAATAAAATTCTTGGGAATATATCTGGCACACTATGCAAAATATCTGTACAATGATAACTAAAAAGTATTGTTGAGAAAAATCAAGGAAGATCTAAGAAAATACCTTATTCACGGGTTGAGAGACTCAACATTGTTAAGATGTTCATTCTTTCTCATGACGTAATGTAATTACAGCCCAAATCCAAGCAGGTATTTTGTAGAAATTGACAATTGGTTTTAAGACTCGCATGGCATGTAGATGACACAGAAATGCACAATAACTCTGAAAAAAACAAAAGAATAAATTTAGAGGAAAATACAACCCAGTTTGAAGAATTATTACAAAGCTACAAAAATTGTAACAGTGTGATTTTGGCATAAAGATAAAGAGATCAATAGAACAGAACAGAGTCCAGAAACCAGGTATACATAAAACGCGCGCGCACACACGCGCGCACACACACACACACACGCACACACTCTCACACTCTCTCTCTCTCTCTCTTATAATATGACTGGTCAAGTGACTGCTTATGAACTGTAATTGCTTGATACATGAGTCTCGCATCTCTTGGCCTTAAATCGCTACCATAACTTTGAGAAGCTGATGATACCTTTGTTTTCTGAGAACAGTTGCAGTGTGCAAGCTGACAGTTCCATAGAGATGGAACAAGTGTAGAGCCAGGGGAAAAAAAGGGATACACACAGACTTCTTAAGATTTTTTTAAAAGCTATGGAAGATGATAAACTAATGAGGCCTAAGTATACTTTTCATTATGAATGTTTATGTTGTCACATCTTTCAGTAATGTGTGTAAGTATTTAATGTGGTATTTGTTAACCAAGCAACCCATTCACTATTTACATTTACTTCAGAAATCCATGATTTAAATTTAATTCATAATTTTTGGCAACATACCTTCATCTACTTCTGCAGTTATGTTTTCTTGCACACCTGCTGCATCTGAAAAAGTCAAATATTATTAATAATGTTTCAGTTAAACAAGAGACATTATCATGTAGCCCTTTTGTAAGTCAAGGAGCATCTCTAATCTGGGTTGATCATTCCTAACTTGAAAATCTGAAATCCAAAACGCTCTACAATCTGAAACTTTTCAAGCACATGCATGATACCACAACTGGAAAGGTCCACACCTGACCTCATGTGACAGGCTGTGATGGAAACACAGTTAAAACTTTGTCACATGCAAAACATTTTTGTAAAACATTGTACAGGCCAGATGTGATGGCTCACGCCTGTAATCCCAGCACTTTGGGAAGCTGAGGCGAGTGGATCACCTGAGGTCAGGAGTTCGAGACGAGCCTGGCCAACATGGTGTAACTGTCTCCACTAAAAATACAGAAATTAGCCTGGTGTGGCTGCACGCACTTGTAGTCCCAGTTACTTGGGAGGCTGGGGCAGGAGGATTGCTTGAACCTGGGAGGCGGAGGTTGCAGTGAGTTGAGATCATACCATTTCACTCCAGTCTGGGCGACAGATCAAGACTCTGTGCCCCACCGCACCCCCACCCCAGGCAAAAAAAAAAAAAAAAAAAGAAAATATCTTCAGGCTATGTGCATAAGGTGTATATGAAACATAAATGTATTTTGCATTTACACTTGGGTACCATCCCTAAGGTATTTCATTAGGTGTATACAAATATTCCAAAATCTGAAAAAATCCACTTTTGGTCCTCCCAAACATTTTGGACAAGGGATATTCAATCTGTCCTATGAGAAAAATAAAATTCCTTTTCAGTGTGACAGAAAATAAGAGATTGACTTATCAAACTTGAACTTACCAAAATTTTCTGAAGCTGCTCAATTTTGTTCGCTCGCTTTTTCATTCTAATTTTTAACATGGCATTTTCTATTTTAAGCCTAAAATATATATTTTAAAATAATTATTGTCAGACATAATTTTAAAAAAAATCATGTGAATTGTGAACAAACATCTGAAGGAATAATTACATAAATTCTGAGATATTTGAAAAGTAGAAAATTGAGCAACTGTTGTTATTTTTCTACCTTTGTTTTGTGGATGATGTGTAAAATTAAAAATAATGTAGAAAATTTATGCATTTCAAAACAGCTTAAAGCTGAAATTTTTCCTTGGCTTCACACAGACATACTTATTATCTTAACTGATATATTTCTCATACTACACTACTCATTTGCTTTATAAATACTCAAGATATTTTGTATGCTGCTTTAAATTGTACTTTTGCACGTGGTCTGGCATCTCCTCAGCACATCTTAGAGTCTCTGTGAGTTGATCCTGCATTTCTTGCAACTAAAACAAAGAATTAAAAACAACCTTTAGGTGTGGAAATAAGCCAAATGCCCATCAATAGGTGAATGAATGAACAAAATATGGTTATATATAAAATACTGTTTTAGACTATCACAATCTATTTTATTAAAAAATGATAATCTAGGACAAATCGACCTATTACCTGTTTTAACTAAATTTTACTGGAACGCAGCCACACCCCTTCAGTCTGCATATTGTTTATGGCTACTTTTGTGCTGTAACTGTAGTGTTGAGCTGTTGCAACAAGGATCTTATGGCTCACAAAGTCTCAAATAATACTACCTGGCCCTTTACAGAAAAGTTTACTGACCTATGCTCTACGATTAAAACACAGTATTTTTCTTTTTTAATTTATATTTTATCAAATACTCACATTTACAAAATTGGTAAAATGGGGAAATATAGGAAATTACTTTATAGTAAGCATTTATATTTTTCAATTCCAAACACCACTATATCAACTATAATTTCATTTCTTTTTTGTCTATATCCATTTACTTTTGTTATATCAAGAAAACTTGCACTTTTTTTGGGGGACGGAGTCTCACTCAGGCACCATCTTGGCTCACCGCAATCTCCACCCACCGGGTTCAAGCGATTCTCCTGCCTCAGCCTCCTGAGTAGCTGGGACTACAGGCATGCGCCACCACCATGCCCAGCTAATTTTTGTATTTTTTTTTAAGTAGAGACAGGATTTTCGCCATGTTGGCCAGGATGGTCTCAAACTCCTGACCTCAGGTGATCCACCCGCCTCAGCCTCCCAAAGTGCGTGGATTAGAGGCGTGACCCATGGCATCTGGCCCATTTTTAACATTTAAAATTAAGCATCATCTTTCCTTTCCAGGGAAACCACAAGAAAATTTTAAAATAAACAGAAAAATAATTAAAATAGACAAGATAAATTTCAGGTAAGATCCTACAGGTTCCGTTGATTCCTATTGAGTGGCAGGGCTCACGTCATCATTAGGAGACAATTTATTTAAAAGTGTCATCTTAAACTGCAGAGAGTCCATTGACCATGCCAAAGGAGAAGCCATGTTGTCAAAATGCCCACTTGACCCACCCAAACATCTCAAACCTACCCTTTGCTGACCTCCTATAACCCCATTTATAAATTTTTGTGTTTTTATTTTTTTAAACAAGAGAAAGTAGACACATACATGTTGGCAAATGCTAACTGTCCATAATTCTATGACTATGACTATAGCCCAATATAAAGTCAGAGTAAGGATTTTCATCAAAATACTAATTTATTCTGTAGAATGGCCTTTCCGTACAAGTTAACCAGAAACCATGAAATAAGTAAGCACAAATCTTTATTCACACAGAAAAGTAGAGATTAAAAAAAGAAAATTTTCTGAAACATTCCATTAGACATTATCCTCTAAATTAATCTGGCTTGTCTCCACGTGGCAATGAAAAAAATCACTAAAAATATACTGTAAAAAGAAAAAATAATTCTCTAATCTTCTGTGAGAAATGATGTGTAATTCTCAACTTTCATAAGGGGAAATACTAAAAAAAATTTGTAATTATAAAACATGGCAGAGATTGAGAAATGGGTATATTATAATCAAATTTTAACAAAATTAATTATAATGAAAATACAAAAGAAAGCTCTCCACTGAAACTAGTGTCCTGAAACACTTGATATTATTTAACCAGCTACAGAGTAACTGTTGACATGCTAAGTTTCATACATACTTGACTTCTCAGCTGGTCTAATTTCTTTTTTGAATCTCGTGTCTCATCTTCTAAATTATGGTGACATTGTGATGAAATCTCTAGCATAGCTTCTGACAGTGACTGTTTGTTCAGGGTATCCCCCACTTCTCGCTGAAGCTGTCTCATGACTACCTGGTAAGATGTTATTTTTGTTACTGATTTTACATATCACCTTATTATTAAATTTTGTTAATAGTATTTAACTCTAATGTATACATTTTGAGACATATCACCACACACATTGATTCTTCTTCTTCATGTGTACACATTCCTATTTATTTCTGAATCCAGTTAAGGATAAAGAAGGTGTTATCTTTGTGCCAAACTGGTGCTGTGTTACTCATACAACAGATTCAGTCCACTGATGAATGTGCAATGCTTAAAAACCTTCTGAGGTCTCAAAAAGAAACAGGCATGTGGGTGGGACTGGTGGTAGTGAATTTTACACTGTGCAATGTTTTCTCTCTTTTTTATAAGAAGAAGCTCAAACCAACCTCAGAGTTCCTCACATATTCAGCCACCAGCTCAAATCATTCCAATAGATTTCCATCTCAGAAGAAAAGTAACATGCCAATGGCCTCAGAGGCTCTAGGTAACCTGGCTTCCACTTCCCTCCCTGACCTCAGCTGCTGTGTCTCTCTTCCCTACTCCCACCATTCCTACCAGCCCTCATTAGTCTAACAATGAGGATCCAATGTGAAACCAATAAATCACAGACAGCTAAGCTTATCTTTGTACTGGACAACATTATATCCAAATGAGAGTCATTGAGCCTTGAAATAAAAATTATGACTATATTATGACTGAAAAATTGAAAGTAAGTTATAAATGCCAGTGGGAAGATTAAATCAAGTATGGTTTGGCTAACATTTACCACATTTTCCCCACATTATAATGTAAGAAAGATGTCTTTAAAGAACGGAATGGTTGTATCAATACATAATTTGAGACTGAATTATTTTCAGATTTAAGTCAAATTGACATGAATAAAAATAAAATTATATCAAGTAAGATACATTAAAAGCTATTGAGGAAGAATAATTATAAAATAGGAAATACACTTTAGTTCATCTGGGAAATGTGGAATTAACTGTGAAAGTAATCCAATTAATTGAATCAATTTCAAAATAACACTTTAGGTATGAATATTTCTTTATATCTGCTTTATCATAATCCTAAAATGTGGCAACATACAGACATTAAAATTATTTCAGCAGTCTAAGACTACATTATAAATATTAGTCTATATTAATATTTTGTAACTGAAATGCTTAAATTTTCCTAAGTGTCACATTGTCTTTACTCAAAGGAAAGCATCTCCTAGCTCTAACTTTTATTTGCTGGAAACAAGTTATGTTTCTAAGGTGATATAGCAGAACTGTTGATCATGTATGTATTTTGATATTCAACTTGATTCAGTGTTTAGCCATAACCAAATATACTTTAAATTTTACTTCAGAAAGTTTGAAAAATACTTATTTTTCTTGATACTTACTTCTTCTTCTTCTTTCTCTTTTTCATATTGGCATTGTCTTTCTTTTAAAAGAGTGCATTCCTTCATCAACTCCTTATTGTTCTCTTCTAGCTTTCTACACTCAGCTTGAAGTTTTTCTACAGTATCTTCACATTTGGCTCGGATATTAATTATTGTTTTTTCCTGATTGTCAGCTTTCTTGTCAGCATCATTACACTGCTGTTGATACAACAGATTTCGGCTTTGTAGTTGAAATAGTCCATCCTCTACAGATTGCTGCTTTCTCACGTATTTTTCAAAAATAGGTTGGTCATTTTGGTACATGTGCTCAATGTCCTTCAGTTGACACTGTGTTCGGCTTAGGACTTCTTGCATGTGTTCTACAGCCAATGTCTTTTCTTTGAGAGCCTCTCTTTCATAATGGAGCTCAGTTTCCAGGCCACTGGATGTACTCTCAACTTTGGAAAGTTGCTGAGAAAGAATCTGAATGTGAGAATTAATATTTTCTTGTAAATGACACCATTCATTTACTGTGCTCTGGAAAGCAAGCTGTCGGTCTCTTTTTGCTGACTGACATTGATCGTGATCATGTAGGGCAGCAGCCAGTCTACAAGGGTATGATTCCATTTCTGTTTTCAGTCTTTGTGTGCTTTGTTTTTCCTTCTCTAGCTCCAAATTGAGCACTGTATTCTCATCCATCAGAGCACTAAGCTCTTTACTGTACCGGGTTATTGTTTTTGTTAATGTTTCCTCATTCAGCTTTAGAGTCTTTTCAAGGTCTTCATTGTTTCCCTTTATAATTTCAATATCCTTGAAATATTTCTTTTCTGTTTCCTGGTTCTGATATTTAATTGTGTCTATTTCCAGCCTGAGTCTGGCAATTTCATCCCGCATCAAGTGATTTTCCTGCCACAGGTCTCTTTCTTTTTCATGAGTATGAGAACTCTAAATAAAACAAAGAAAACTTTCAACTAGCACCCAATAAAATGACATATTATGATTTCTTCTGAAACCAAGTAAGTAATAACCTGTTACATTTATACAATGAAAGAGTTGCCATCTGGATATCCAACCGGAAAAAAAAAGTTGAATCAAAACCTCAAACCTTTTAGAGCATAAATTCTCAAAAGTTCAAAAATGTATTTGAAGACAATGGATCTATAAAAGAAAAAAAAAAAAAAAAAGAAACCACTAGAAATTACTTAAGAATCTCAGAATTTTTTTTTTTTAAAAAGGCTTTTACTGAATTTCAACAAACCCAAAAACATAAATGATTAAAAACTATGATTACATTTAGAAACTGGGTTTACACACTAACATCTAACCTTTACTTTCCCTATAGTAAGAGCGTTAGCTCTGCAGATATCTGGACAGATGAAATTTTCCAAATTCCTTAAGTTTATTTTTTCTGTGAATATTTTATAGATAATTCTACTTTTCTTACATTTTTAGAGTCAGTTTTACCAATGACATGTATTGATAAATGACAGATCTGGGCATTGTACTAAGCACTTTTGTATGCATACATCAATAAATTCATTTAGTTATCACAATTCTGCAAGGAAAGGTCAAAAATAGAAGCAAGTTCCTGGATTTTTCCTAGGTCCTCTGACTCTGCTTCTAGTGCTCCTCCACCAGATCACAGTTACTTCCATGGGGTAGACATGCAAATACAATAGAAACCTTTTCTTTCAAAACACCAAAGAAGATAAAATTTATAAAGCTCTTCTTAGGAAATCCTGAGATCATATACTATTATGATAACTTTTATTTCCTTTTCACAATGTTTGAAACCATAATTAATGTGAAATAGGGAAAACTACACTGAACTATGTCACTAGGAACAAATTACTTATCAACAAAATATCACTAAGTATATATTATGGGTTATCATCGTTTTCCAAAAGTCTTTGAGCTGAAATAAAATATAATTTTGAAGCCAAGATTTATAATAAATAATTGCAGTTGTAAGTTTCATTTAAGATGAAATAAAATTTGTAGTTTGTTTTAGAACTACATCATATATATAAAGTCAAAGGGATATTCTAAGTCATATTAATAAAATAATATTAGAAATGTAAAATTTTACCAAACATTAATTTACCTCATTTGAGTTACTTCTTACAGTCTTCAGTTCCACTTCCAATGATTTGAGAGTCAGTTGAAGTTGTTTTTTCACTTCAGTTTGTGTCCTATACTGCTCTTCCATTATTTTTAACTCTTCCGTATCTTTTTCATACAACTCTTCAGCCTTTCTTCTTTTTTCTTCTTCTTCTTGTAAGATACAGCTGTAGTTAAATATACTTATCTTAAAATCCTTTAAAAACAAAACACTCATATGCTGGTTTACTATCCTAATAAAGTGCCAATGTTCTTGAATATTTTTTCTTTCTAGTTTTCATGTTAATATCTCACTTCGATATATTCCAAAGAACATATATAAATTGAAAGGTAGTAAGGAACATCCTGCTAACTGATTAGCTTCTGTTATTATTAATTCTAGTAAATATTATGGAAAAGGATGTTGAAAATTATTAGGTAAAGCTACAAGTTAAAAATTACCTTTTCTTCACACAGTAATAATTACTCCTCAGTCAGGATGAATCATTTAGAGTTAGCTAATTTAAAAAAAAGGTATTTTTTAATAAACAAGTTGATACCTTCACTAGAAATAAATTTGCATCTTCATGAAATATTGCAACTGTCCCTAAACATGATTTACATTGTAAGATAGCACCTTCAGATGTCTTCTTGCAACATATATCTCCAGATGACAATAATCCAAGACTAAGCTAAGGAATCTAAGATGTTACCCATACGTTTTATGTTTCTTTTTCTGGTAACACTTTTGACTTATTCTGTTGATTAGTATGTATTTTACAAGCAATTGTAAAATCCATTCTCAAACAAGACAAGATCTAATATTTAAACAATAAAGAATAATATCTGCCTTCCGCATAGAAGTTTGAATTAATTTAAACTCTGTAGCACAGACAGATGTTGACTAAGCTAATCAGTAATCACTTTCCATTTTACTTTTCATTCACTGCATATTAAGAGTAAAACTGGGCCAGGCGTGGTTGCTCACACTGTAATCCCAGAACTTTGGGAGGCCAAAGCCAGGTGATAACTTGCAGTCAGGAGTTTGAGACCAGTCTGGCCAAAGTGGCAAAACCTCATCTCTACTTAAAAAAAAAAAAAAAAAAATTAGAAAGGCACGGTGATGCGTGCCTGTAATCCCAGCTACTTGGGAGGCTGAGGCACAAGAATCACTTGAACCCGGAAGCAGAGGTTGCAATGAGCTGCACCGCTGCACTCCAATCTGGGTGACAGAGCAAGACTCTGTCTCAAAAGGACAAGAAAAAAAAAAAAAACAAACCGATAAAACTGGTTAATTTTAAAAATAATTATTCTGGGTGGAGTAAAGTATACATTTCATACTCAAATTATAAACTTTCTTAAAAACAACTTAGTAATATTTAATCAAAGATCTCTTTTAAAAAGCTCCTATACTCTAACCAGATAGCTCTATTTTGAAAAATTTATCCAAAGAAATAGAAATGTAGAAAACTATGGATATATAAGATGTTTCTTACAGCATTAATACAAAAAATTAAAACCCCCAATTTCAATTTATTAAATAATGAAATTTCCATAGGGTAAAATTCTATGTAGCCATTAAAATAATGATTTAAAGGAATATGCAATTAATTATTAGAGAAGTATTCACAATTAAGAACTTGTGATATTTTATCCAAAAATTTCACATTCCACAATTTTAAGTTTTCTTCCCTAGTAAACCCTAGAAGGTAAGTCAGCTATTACAAAAATTATCCTACATATCTTTAGTATAAATAGCTCAAATATTTCTTTAAAACTAGAATGTGATACCTGAAATTACAGAGCTTTTGTTTACATTCAAGATTCTGATACTCTAACTGTGATTTGGTTTCGTCTGTTTCAGATAGTTCCTTTTGTAGCATGCTAATCTTATTTTTCATTTTTTGAAATTTTACTTTAAGTTGTTCACAGTTACATTTTTTATGTTCTATTGATCTTTCACATGCAGTTATTGCATTCTTGGTTTTCGATAGGCTAACAAAATCTGTAACCGGGAGAAAACAAAATAGAGATAAAATACATGAGTAGGTTTTTAAATATAAAGGACTGTGCATTTCAACATGGCACTGATTCATACACTGAATGGATATGTATCTATTAAGTGCTTTCAATGTAGAAAATATTTTAAAAAGCTCTTCAGATAAAACAGACAACACGTCTGATCTTGTTTAGCTTAAAGTGTAGTAAAGAACACAGAAAAAAACGTGACAATTACAAATTCAGATAGATACTATAAGAATACATAGTTTTTCAGTCACGTAAGAGAATCTGACCTATACTTGGCCCAGGGAATATTTCTCTGAGGAAGAGAAGGCTACACGGAGAAATAAAAAAAGAGAAGGAAGCAGCTAAGCAAAGGAGGAAGCAAAGCACTCTGGCTAGTCTGCTGCATGTGCTGGAGTTCTGCTGCAATCTGCTTTCAGCCAAGAGGGAGCAACGGGTGCTGATTTTCCTCCTTACCTGAAACAACCAACACAGACAAAATATATTAAACAATGATTTTCAACACAGTGGACTTCAGATAATGAAGATGGTCATCACTGAAAGACAGGAAACAAATGTAGGCCTTTTTGTTGATAGAGCTTCTTTTGTTGCCAGAGCTCCCAGGCCATGATAAAGGGAGAAAATCTGACATAGATTCCCTGAGCTGGGGCAGTGACGCTAAGAATCTAGTAAAACAAAAGCAGAAAGAAATCACAGGACAGAACACTGGAGAGGATAAAGCAGCAGAGGAAACAAACCCTGGAGATCTGCAGAGGTCCCCTCTAAAGTATTTAGTGGAATAATGAAAAAAATGGATGTGTGCTAGGAAACTTCCCAAGACCTAGGGGTGGCGAGTGGTGGGGGGACACAACAGAAAAAGATTAGGAGAAACCATGCCTGGTGTTCACAAAGTGCCCAGAAGAGGGTCCATTACCCAAGAGCCAGGCCCAAAAAACTCATACTTCACAGGATGATAAATAATCCAAAAACTCTTGCCTCAGGAGTGGCAAATTACCGAGAATCTAGAAGCAAGAACAAAAAGAATTCTGTTTATAAGTAAATCACTGTACCCCAAATAAAGCTCGAGACAGTAAGTGGAGGCATGAAAGGTATTTTTAAAAAAATCAAACCACACCTGTAGAAATGCAAATTACAATGTCAGAGGTAAAAACTACAATCGAAAATAAACACAGATCACAATCATAAATTTGTTGTGATGAACCATGAGAAACCTTCAAGCAACTAATATATAAATCTCCAAATAGAAAACAACAAAGACAGAAAAGAAATTTGAAAAATAATTGGCCCAAAACATTCTAAACTTGGCAAAATCTATATTCCCACAGATCCAGGAAGGAACTGTCTGGGACAAAAAAATAAATAAAACGGTGGCTCAAGCCTGTAATCCCAGCACTTTGGGAGGCTGAGACGGGCGGATCACGAGGTCAGGAGATCAAGACCATCCTGGCTAACATGGTGAAACCCCGTCTCTACTAAAAATACAAAAAACTAGCCGGGCGAGGTGGTGGGTGCCTGTAGTCCCAGCTACTCAGGAGGCTGAGGCAGGAGAATGGCATAAACCCGAGAGGCGGAGCTTGCAGTGAGCTGAGATCCGGCCACTGCACTCCAGCCTGGACGACAGAGCGAGACTCTGTCTCAACAACAACAAAAATAAATAAATAAATAAAGTGTACCATTGTCATTTTCTTATACCATCTATGATGTGGTATAACATTACTTGAAGGTAGACTGTGATAGGTTAAAATTATATACTATAAATCCTAAATAAATCACTGAGATAGCAAACAAAGAGTTATATATAATAAACCAAAAAAGAAATACGAAATTAAATCATGGAAAATAGCTGATTAATCTAAAGGAAAGCAGAAAAAGAAGGGGAACAAATAGCAGCAAGACTGACAGCAATCAAACAGCACAATGACAGACAAACTTAACTATATTGAGTATCACATTATAAATGAAACTGGTCCATAAGCCTCAATTAAAATGCAGACTGACAAGACTCGATAAGAAAGCAATACCCAACTACATGCTGTCTATAAGAAATGTATGTTAAATGTAAACAGACAAATGGGCTGCAAGAATAGAAAAAGATACATGCTAACACTTGACAGAAGACTACTGAGAAGAAATGGTTCAATTAATATCAAAGTAGATTTCACAGCAAAACAATTTCCAGCAATAAATCAGGTCATGTCATAATGATGAAAGTTTCAGTTAATCAAGAAGATATAATAATCCTAAATGTTTATGCCCCTAATAACATAAGAAATTCAAAATACATGAGGCCAAAGTAGATAGAACTATAAAAAGAAATAGACAATTTCTAAGTAATCTGAGATTTCAATACCCTTTACTCAGGAAGTGATAGAACAAGGAGGCAGATAATTAGCAAGAATAGAGCAGACTTAAAAAACAGCATGCCTTTCAAGTACCTATGGAACACTTACCAAAACAGACAACGTTTTAGGCCATACAATAAATCTCATTAAAAAGATTAAGTAAAAAGAATGTAAGTCATACAAAGTACATATCCTGACCACAAATCAATGATATTAGAAACCAATAACAAAAATAATGCTAAGAAATACTCAAATACATGAAAACTAAGAAACACATGTCTAAAAAACCCTGGTTCAAAGAGACTATGAAAAAAAAATATTTTGAACTGAATAAAAATGAAAAAGTAACATATCGGGGTTTGTAGAATGCAGCAACAACTGCACTTAAATACACATTTTTAGCACTAAATATCAATATTATAAGAGTCTCAAATCAATAACCCTGACTTCTCCCCTAAGAAAATGGAAATAAATAAATAAATAAATAAATAAAATAAAATAAAATGAGAGAATTAAACCCACAGCAAGCAGAGGGATAAAAAACAAAACCATCTGCTGTGGTCTGAATGTTTGTGTTCCCAAAAGTTCATCTGCTGAAACCTAATCACAAGGGCGGATTTTTCGAGGTAGTGAAATCATGAGAGCCAAGCCCTCATGAATGGGATTAGTGTTCTCACACAACACACCCCAGAGAGCCCCTCCACCCCTTCTGCCATGTGAGGACACAGAGAAAAAGAACACATCTATGATCCAGGAAGGTTCCTTACCCCACAGCAAATTTGACAGCACTTTGACCTTGGACTCTGCAGACTCCAGAACTGTGAGAAATCATTTTCTACTGTTTATAAGCTACCCAGTCTATGGTACTTTGTTATACTATTGGTTTCAGGAAAAAAAGGAAGATCAGCAACACCAAACACTTTGGGAGATTGATAAATGTGAGAAATGTCTATTTACCCTGGCTGATCAGGAAGAAGAGAAGATACAAATTACTATACATGCAAATTACCATACATGCATATTACCAAGTCAAACAAGCCAACCTAAAAATGCTACTTTTTTTTTGTTTTGTTTTGAGACAGAGTCTTGCTCTGTCTCCCAGGCTGGAGTGCAAAGACATAAGCTTGGCTCACTGCAACCTCTGCCTCCCGGCTTCAAGCGATTCTCCTGCTTCAGCCTCCTGAGTAGCTGGGATTACAGGCGCCTGCCACCACACCCGGCTAATTTTTGTATTTTTAGTAGAGACAGGGTTTCGCCATGTTGGCCAGGCTGGTCTTGAACTCCTGACCTCAGGTGATCCACCCATCTTGGCCTCCCAAAAGTGCTGGGATTACAGGCGTGAGCCACCGTGTCCAGCCTTAAAATGTTACTTTCTGTATGATTCCAACTATATGACTTTCTGGAAAATGTAAAACTATGGATATAGTAAAAAGATCAGTGGCTGCCAGAGGGTGAGGGACACCAGGAAAGGATACACAGGCAGAGTACTGAGGATTTTTAGGGAGGTGAAAATGTATATGACCCGCATACGTGTCAGTGTACCTTAAGACCAAACCCATACGATGTATAGCACCAGCGTACAAGGCACACTACGGGCTGCAGGTGATTCTGATGTGCCAATGTAGGCTCATCCATTAGAGAAACTGTACCACTATGGGAGGGTTACTGATAAGGAGGGAGGCTACATATGTGTGCAGGTAGAAGGTATTTGAAAAGTCTCTGTACCTTCCTCTCCATTTCGCTGTGAACATAAAACTGGTCTAATAAATAAACTCTTTATAATAAACCAATAAAGACTTCATCATGACTTCTTTAGAAAATTGAATCCAACAGTATAATAAAAGGACAATACATCATAAACAAATGGGTTTTTTTCCCAGGACTGCAGGGTTGGCTTAACATTCAAACATCGTTGTTATCTGCCAGATTAACAATGGAAAACAGTAGATCCATAGAATCATCTCAACAGATAGAGGCATTTGATACAATTCAACACTCATTCCTGATTTTGTAAAAATGAAAAAGTCTCAGCAAAGTAAGAATCCAGGGACCTTCCTCAGCAAGATAAAGAGCATCTATGATGAACCGACACCTAACATGTATCATGGAACATATGAGTATGTTCCCCAGAAGATGAACAACAACACAGGAATGTCTACTTTTACTGCTTTTATGCAGCATTGTTGTGAAGACTCTAGCTAGCGCAGTCAGGCAAGAAAAAGAAATAAAAGTCATCCCAGTTGAAAAAATAAATAAAACTATCTTTATACACAACCATGACCACACAATAGGTTTGAGTAAACTCTAACCTGTGGACCAGCTTCTTGTCTTCGTCAACGAGCACAGCTGTGTTCATTAATGTACAGGTTGTCTATGGCTGCTCTCATACTACAGTGGCAGAGTCTATCAGCTACAACAGAGACCCCTTTTGCCACAAGTCTTTAATAAGAGGGTACTTTGAGAAAGAAAAGGTTTGACAATCTTTGGTCTATGTAGAAAATCTGATCAAATCTACCCAGAACGTACCAGAACTAATAAGTGAGTTCAGCAAGATTGGACTATACAAAATCAACATACAAAAACCAACTGTATTTCTGTATATTAGCGATAGAGTAAAATTTTAAAAATATCACTTATGACTATATCAAAAACTGAAATAAACAGCTGATAAAACATAAAAAGACCTATATACTAAAAACTACAAAATATTACTGAGAAAATTAAATATGACCTATATAAATGGAGACATACACTTTCTTCAGGAGCAGGAAGATTCATTATAGTTAAGATGTCCATTCTCCATAATCTATAAATACAACACAATCCCAACCTAATCAATCCCAACAAGCCAGGAGACTTTTTTTTTAAATTGACAAATCGATGTGGAAATGCAAAGGATCTAGTAGAGCCAAAACAGAACCAATAACAAAATCTGAAAACTGATTTTGAGAATTATTACAAATCAATAGTAATCAAAACAATGTGCCACTGGTACAGGATGAGTATCCCTTATTAAAAATGCTTGGGACCAGAAGTATTGCAGATTTTGGATTTTGGAATATTTGCATATACATAATGAGATCTCTAGGACATAGGACCTAGGTCTAAACACAAAATACACTTATTTTTCATATACACCTCATACACAAAGCCTGAAGGTAATCTTATTTTATTTTATTATTTTAATTTTTGAGACAGTCTTGCTCTGTCACCCAGTCCAGAGTGCAGTGGTGAGATCATGGCTCATTGCAACCTCTGCCTCCCAAGCTGAAGCGATTTCTTGCCTCAGCCACCTGAATAGCTGGGAATACAGTGTGCATCACCATGCTCAACTAATTTTTGTATTTTTAGTAGAGATGGGGTTTTGCCATGTTGGCCAGGATGATCTTGAACTCCTGACCAAAAGTGATCCTCCTGCCTTGGCCTCCCAAAGTTCTGGGATTACAGGCATTAGCCACCACGCCCGGCCTCTGAAAGTAATTTTAAATATTTCATAATTTTTGAATGAAACAAATTTTGCGCACATGAGCTCAGTTATGGAACTTTCCACTTGTGAGATCAGGTTGACAATGAAAACATTGTGGATTTTACAGCATTTCAGATTTGGGATTTTGAATTAGGGATGCTCAACCTATATAAAGAAAGTCAAATACAGACAGTCCCCAACTTCAGGTGGTTTAACTTATTAATTTTACAATGGGTTTAATGAAGTATTACTTAGCTTTTGACTGAAAGGGTGGATTTATCAGGAAGTAACCCTACCATAATTTGAGGAGCATTGAATTAATAGAATTCAATAGAAAGTCCACAAATAGATGACATATAGCCAACCAGTTTATTTCTGACAAAGGCAGGATGGCAATGTGGTAGAGAAAGGATAGCCATTTCCACATATAGTGCTCAAACAACTGGCTGTTCAGATCCAAAAAGTTAACTTGAATCTATACCTCATTCTATATACAAAAAAACCTCAAAATGAAACATGCATTTAAATGTAAGACCCAGAACTATAAGACCCCTAGAATGATGCACAGAATAAAATTTTTGAGAAAATTACTTGTGCTAGGCAAAATTTTCTTAGATACGACATAAAATGCAAACTCTGTAACTGAACAAGTTCTTCAAAATTTAAAACTCTTCAAAAGACACTATTAATAAAGTCAACCTACAAACTGGAAAAAATATTCTTGTAAAGCAATAGTATCCAGAACTATTAAAATTCAACAAGCAAGAAAACATCAATCTAATTTTGTAAATGGAAAAAGATTTGAAAACATAGTTCACCAAAGAGGATATACAGATGGCAAATAAAACCATAGAAAGATGTTTAACATGTTTAGTCATTAGGATCATGCACAGTAACCACATCCATGAGAATGGCTACAAATAAATACTGCAGTACTTAGTGTAAAAATGCAGCAACTGCAACCGTCCTATTCTGCTGACGACAATACAAAATGGTACACATCTTTTGGAAAACAATTTAGCAGTTTTTCTAAAAAGGGAACATAAGGCAGCAAAGGACACTTTTGTGGGTGATGGATATGATAATTGTGTTATGGTGACAGTTTCACAGGTGTATACACCTGTCAAAACTTACTAAATTGTACATCTTACATATGTGCACTTTAACATACATCAACTATATTTCACTAAAGCTAAGGATTGTGGGAGCAAACACCTGGGCGCTGGCTGTGACACAGAGAGAAACAAGGGTATGAAATGAAGTAGTATAAAGCTAGAGCATTGTCATCTTTACCTTATAGCAATGACAAGTGGCAGCTGGGTGTTAAGCAATCGGGTAACATGATCAGATGTGAATTTTAAAAATGTATATAATTATGGTTGCAGAATAGACCATGGTTTTGGAAGGTGGGGAAGTAGGGAAAAGAGTTATAAGTTTATCACAGTATTCAAGGTATGAGATAATGACAACCTGACCCTGGGTAAAGGCATATTTCTGAGATGAACATCCCTATAACACATCAGTGATCTATGGTACGGTGCTAAGCAATGTGTGCATACATTACTATAGGATAGGGAAAAAGCCTTATATTTATGGATTGGTCCTACCTTTATGCTCCATTCCATGTTGTTCAATGAATAACATAAAGTTTTTATCACTGGAATAAGGCAAGTCATCATCCTCCGAGGATGTTTCAGGTGACCAAATTATGTCATTGAGGTCATCCTTGGAATATAGATCTCTTTTAACCTATAATAAATAACACTGTTTCAAAATGTCTACCAAATATTTATGGCAAATACTAAATGTACACCAGTGGGAACTATTCATCTTTTTCTATGAGCAAAACCAAAGTACTTCTTAAAATAACTGACTTTGGTTAAAAGGGTACCTTTATGAATGGTTGCTGTTGCTTTTTGAAAGCCAATGTCTTTACAACAAAGGATTTTCTGTTTTTTAAGTGAACTTTAATAAGGAATTTTCAACAACATTCTTGACAATATACTTTCACAATACCTTGTTCTTTTCATTACAGGTTTTCCTTGCAAGCCTAAAAAAAAAAAACCAAAAAATTCCAATCAGGCAAATAGTAAATATGTAAAATACAAAGAATATCTATAACTATTTCTTAAATAAAACCTCTGTATTTGTAATTTTTCTCTCCTATTCATAAAGTTTACAGGAAATTTTTCACAGGTGATATAAAATACAATTATTTTCTACAAGGGGATAAAACTATAAATGGAAAGGGTATATTATAGGACAAATAAAATATATTACTACTAATATAAAACAATTAAGTTTAGATCAAGTTTTCTGACAGCCAAAGAAAAAGAATAAACATGTTACTTGTATTACTTCATAGAAAAAATATATACAACACACTATTTTTTTCTCTTGTTGCCCCTCCCTCCTTTTTTGTTTGTTTGTTTTGTTTTATTTTTTAAAACAGAGTCTCACTCTGTCACCCAGGCCAGTGTACAATGGCGTGATCTCGGCTCACTGCAACCTCCACCCCCAGGGTTCTAGTGATTCTCCTACCTCAGCCTCCTGAGTAGCTGGAATTACAGGCACCTGCCACCACGCCCAGCTTATGTATTTATTTATTGTTTGTATTTTTAGTAGAGACGGGGTTTCACCATGTTGGCCTGGCTGGTCTTACCACGTTGGCCTGGCTGGTCTTGAACTCCTGACCTAAGGTGATCCACCTGCCTCGGCCTCCCGAAGTGCTAGGATTACAGGCGTGAGCCACTGCATCAGGCCTTGTTGCCCTTTTATATACAAACAAGCTTTAATTGGTACTAAGACTTATGTGATAAATATTAATTATGTAACAGAAACCCTTATTTAAATGATGACATTGGTGAGCTTTTCAGGACATACTGTGCAGGTACTGTGTACTATTCTAAACACTGTACAAGTCTTTAAGTGTCTTGAATCCTCCCAACAATTCTGTGTAGTAGGTAACTTACTAGGCATTTAATACAGGAAGAAAGTAGGCAAGGAAAGGCCATATAATTTGCCCAGGCCCATAAAACTGGTCAATAGCAGACTAAGCATTCAAACCCAAGAACTCTGGCTCCAAAATACGTGTTTCAGGATACTCTATAATATGCTATAAAAGTAATATTTATTTTCAACTGTTTACAAGTAATATAAAAGCAGATGAATTCTTATTATCTATGACTACAAATAATCTCTGAATCTTGCAATTTTTTAAAGTAAGATTTTATATCTATGCAGTTTTGGAAACCTGCTTTTAGTAATCTGAAAACTTGGTTTCTCTAAAGAAATTCACCAAAAAACATTCATTCATCCTTTCAACTATTCATGTATTCGACCAACACTTACTGAGTGTACAACACATGTCAAAGAGCCTGTTGACTGGTCCAGGGAAATTTTTTTTTCTTTTTTTTTTTTTACCTTTGAACTATACAGTCCAAAAGTAACAGTCTGCAATGAATTTTTTCAGGAGTTTGCTTTTCTATTATTCATTAGAAAACCTCCCCCTCCCCACAATCTGAAAAACCATAAAGGTGACACGCCTGTTATTTCAGAATACCTTGCTAAAGCACAGCTATTCGTGATGCTACTTTCAAAGGTACTGTGATACATAAATCATCAAGGAATGTTTAAATTCTATTCAATATGACTCAAGTGTTTGTATGTTTATTATTACAGATTCTAAAAACATATGCATGTGAGTTTAACTTTTAGGTCAACATTTTTACGTACCATTATATTAAAATATTCCATTCCTGAACCAATTCTGAAAGAAAAACCTCTTCCAATAAAATGATACGTGAATAGAAATTGTAAGAGTTGATTTACTATAAATATTTAAAAAAGAATGGATCAAACTTTCCAAAGCTCACACATGCAAACAAAACTAAATTCCAAAAACACATTTCTTCTCTACTGGATTATTCCAAACAACAAACAAAAATACTCTAACAGTTTCCATTTTAAAATTGAAAATGAAACAAAAGTCTCTTGAATCTCACATTCTTCTTCTTTACTTGTCACCCATTTCTCTACTTCCTTTTGCAGTCAAAGTTCTCTCAGGAGTTGTCTGTGTTTAGCACTACAGTCAGGGTTCCATGGCAACCAGCTGAAACTCCTCGACAAGGGCACTAATCATCATCTTAATCAGTCTTCCAGCAGCACTGATACAGTTGACTATTCTCTAGATTAGGCTGTCTACACTAGTTTATTTCTAGATAAAGTAATCACTGCTAGTATTCCTTCACAGGGAGATAAGAAAATTAGAGATTTTATCCTCCTTCATCCTTAACCATTTCACTGAAACTGCTATCATTATTTTTACAGAAGACTGCCAGTCTTCTAGACTGGGTAGAAGACCAGTAAGTACACTGGCCTTCTCAAACACTAGTGTAACGACAGTTTCTTTTGAGGTGTATTTTTAAAATTTTCATTTTTCTTTACTTCCTTCATATGCAAGGGATGATCACTACTTTAAAAAATCCATTAAAAAGCCAATGTTTTCTAATAATTCTACTTACAAAGAATAAAAAAATTATTGTGAAATTCATACTCTTCTCCATCTCAATTTATTTACTAATTCAAAAACCAATTTGAACTACCAACATATCCAAAGAAATATATATTCCCAGCTTTAAATAAAAAAAGGTAATCAGCCAAGCGCAGTGGCTCATGCCTCTAATCCCAGCATTTTGGGAAGCCAAGGTGGGTGGATCATGAGCTCAGGAGTTCAAGACCAGCCTGGCCAAGATGGTGAAACCTTGACTCTACTAAAAATAAAAAAAAAAATTAGCCAGGCGTGGTGGCGGGTGCCTGTAATCCCAGCTACTTGGGAGGCTGAGGCAGGAGAATTGCTTGAATCAGAGGTTGCACTGAGCCAAGATTGCACCACTGCACTCCAGTCTAGGTGACAGAGCAAGACTCCATCTCAAAAACAAAACAAAACAAACAAAACAAAAACAGGTAACCAGGCCAGGCGTGATGGCTCACACCTGTAATCCTAGCACTTTGGGTGACCAAGGCAGGTGGATCACTTGAGGCAAGCCTGGCAAACATGGAAAAACCCTGATTCTATTAAAAATACAAAAACTAGCTGGCGTGGTTGTGCACGCTTATAATCCTTTGGAAGCTGACGCATGAGAATCACTTGAACTTGAAAGGTGGAGGTTGCAGTGAGCTGAGATAGTGCCACTGCACTCCAGCTTGGGCAACAAAACTAGACTTTGTTTCAGAAAAAAAAGCAAAACAGGTAACAGGTAATTATGACACAACGCAATATGTAAGAACTGATCTAGAAAGAATTATATCTGAGCATGAGGAAGACTTTATGGAACAGGCAAAAGACAAGAGGAGCTCACCAGGCCAAAACAAACAAACAAACAAACAAACAAACAAAAAACAAAACAAAACCAGAAACAGTAGGAGAAAATCATTCTACATAGAGAATAGAATGTGAGCACAGGGATTAGGCACGTGGCATCCAGTTGTTTCCTGGGAACTTGAAAGGTAAAGTGTAAAACACATGAAAGTAAACACTGAGGGAAGAATGCTACAATAAACTTGAATGCTACGCTAAAAGGCTGAAGCTCACTGCCTGCAAGCAATGACTCTTAGACATGGGGTCATAGTTGGATTTGTGCCATAGTTTTTAATATGTTTCACTGAATTAAGTTTTCAAAATACCATGAGCTACATACAACCTGAAAGAAACTGTGAAATTACCTTAAAGGGAGAAAACACTTTTAAAATACCTGTATGTCTTTATATATTGTTCAAATTAGCATTATTCTGATTAGATAGAATTTTGTTTGAAAATAGAATGATTTTATTAGAAACTTTTAGCATAGTATCTATTTCTAATAAGAAAAGCTGAGTGACCACAATATTGGGGTTTGCTCCCGAATTAGAAAACCATTTATATAGAGAGTACAGCTCATTAAGAAGAGCCCTAAGAATCCAAAAAGGGCATATAATTGCCAGGTAAAATTGTCAGAATGAACCCATGTCAAACTGTATTTTAAGTGAGTATTAATGTTTAAAACCATACACCAGGATAAACTCTATTCACTCATTCGGTAAACATTTATTGAGTTGCTACTTACTATATGCTAGGTCCCTTCCTAGGCAATGAAAAACACAGCGATGACAAAATCCTACTCATGAGCACCAAGTAAACAAAACAACTAACAGCAGAAGCAAAATATATAGTATGTTAGAGAGGAACAACTCAAGCAGGAAAAAGGAGTGTTTATGTGCAGGAGGGGCAAGGTGGCGAAAATATTAGGATGACTAGATAAGACCTTGCTGAGAGAGTGGCTTTTAAGGAAAGAACTGAAGAAATGGAAGGAGTAAGCAAGGAGGATATCTAACTCCATACAGAGTCAACCGCCCAGTACAGAGGGATGCAGAGTGTGTTCACAAAATAGAAAGAAGTTCCGTGTGGCTGCAGCAGAGTGGAAAGGGTAGAAAGGCAGAAGCATAAGTCAGGAAAATAGGAAGTCAGATCCTGTGGTTCCTTTGGAGTATTAGGAGAAAATCTGGCATATATTTTGAGTGAAATGGGAGGCAATTAGAAGTTTTTAACCAAAAGAGTGACATAATGTGACATGTTTTAATAGGTTCACTGGGTAAAGAATTGACGAAAAGAGGATTAAACATGGAGAAACAGAAAGACCTATTAGCAGTCTATGACACTACTCTAGATGGCCAATCAGATGACAGTGGAGTGGCTTGGACATGAAAGATGTGACTGGCTTCTGGAT